CCTCATTGACTGATTTCCAAGGTTGGAGTTGACTATCTAGCCTCCACTTGGAGTTGGAAATCTTAGAAAAAACCTCAAGAACCTTTCCACTTTTCTTTGCTTCTCAATGACCACTTCATCCCAATAGATGTGGTATTGTTTGATTTGGATGAATATTTGTTGAAATCAAAAGGACTGGGAAAGATATGTATCATTAAATGGCTTTGGATGCATGAGAAAGCTGGGATAAAGCCTATTTAAATTCATTTTCAATAGATGGTTTGGACTATCTAGCCTCAATTTGTAGCTCAATATCTCAAGAAAAACATGGAGAACCACCCCACAAAAAATGGTACCCAATGGACCAGTATTGCAGCCTGCAGAATTTATTTATTTATTTTGGAAAAGGACCCCAGACACCCAGTGACAGCTTTGGTATGATGGTATCATACCATCTGGTATGGTATAACATGACATGGTATGGTATGGTACCTTGGTATTGGTATGAGTGGGATATGGTATGAGTTTTCCATTCCATGGTACCATGGTATTGGTATGGTGCTCACATACCACTCTGGAATGGGTACCATTGAGGTACCCTTAAATCCAAGAATTCATATACCTGAGAGGTACCCTAAAATGGGTGACTGAAGTGGTTGTTCATCTGTTCTATGACTTTCTTCATGACGCTGGCATGTTTGCATGGATGTATGGAGGCGGCTTGGAGAGAGGTGGAGTGGATGAATGGTTCGACTATCACTGTTTTCTGGGCGTGGTCTACTGAGATGTCTTGGAAAATTTGGGATGGGGTTAGTGGGGTGCGATTCTCTCGTTTCCGTTCAGCTAGTGTAGAAAAAAAAAAGGAAAAAGGGGAGGTGAACCTCATTGTAGCTGATCAGCCAAACACGTGGGGTCTGGTAATACTTGTTGTATGTGATCATGACATTGTATGGCGGGCTTGGAGGAAATTGCCCTTTGCGACTTCCACATTAGCAATACAAAGAAATCATTAGCATTCTTTCGAGTTCCAGCAAACCCAACAACAGACATACCAAGCATCGACCACCCCACCAGCAGCAGGTATAACTGAGGCTTTAGGTGCAGCAGCCGTAGCCTCATCATCCCCTTCCTCAAATCATCCTCCTCCATATCAGGGATATCATCCAATTTAGGCGTCTCCGCCCCAACCCCAGCACCCAACAACATGCCCCCCAACCCCTTTGAAATCCTCTCCTCATCCTCATGGGGCCCATCCCCATCCAAATCAGGGATATCCGCAATCTCACCGGTGTTCATCGCAGAGTCCATTCAATGTGCCTGCCTCCCTGCATGTGTCTCGACCCACTCATCGCTGTCTGCAGAGGGGGAAGATGAATCAGCAAAGGAGAGGAGGCACTCAGCATCCTCGTCTGCATCTGTGTAGGCTAGGGAGGTGGCGCGCCAGAGGCAGGGGACGCCACACATTACTAGGTATTGTTTGTCGGATGGGACGAAGTTGCAGGATTTGGAGGCATCTCCTTTTTCCCTGTTCGTAAGTAACAAGGACCCAGTTAGTTTTCGTGAGGAAGATGGAGGAGGAAAGCTTACCACATCGATACGGGGAACTTGTACACCAAACAGTCACCTGCAGCAACGAATTCCTCTGTTGTTCATTTCACAGTGAGCAAAAAGGAATGTGATAGACAATCGTGAAACATACCAGGTGTAATACAGCCATGTTCTTTGAATTTGCTCTCTTTGAGAACCTAATAGATGGGTTTGATGGTGAGATGGTGCCCAGATTGTGGATAATAAGGCTTACTGGGCTTAGGTACTCACGCACCGCGAAGAGGCTGGACTGGTTAATATTTATGATTAGGATGGTGGAGGCGATTATGGACTTACTTGGAGGTTGATAACCTCAATGGATTCGATTTCATCATGAGGATCCAGTACTCAGTGACACTCCATTTATCCGACTATTGCGTTGGCCAAAGCAGTGGGTAATTCCATTGTCTGAAACTCTTGCGTCATTCAGAGCTGGTTCAGAGTGAGTTTTCTGCTGACCAATCAAGCTTCAAGGACCCATTTTCACACTTCACCATCATGCATCACGTTGAACAGCTCCCTGACCCACAAATCACCCCAAATTAGACATACCTTCACTCTGTAGGCATCACTTGTGAGTTCTTCTTGAGCTTTTTACCTCATACAAAGTTGATCCTTCTAGTAGATACAAAGAGAACCGTCTCCCACCTCAACTCTCAGTCTCTCAGTTGCGACGAATCTTCACCCCAGAAGGGATGTGCATCAGATTGCGGGTTTGTCGTATGGAAAGACCTATGCCCTTCTGAAGTGTTTCACCAAAATGATGTGTTCAGTGAGAGGGGGCGAACTCGTACATCCCATTGCCTTCATAGATCCTACTTTTACAAGGATGACATCAACATTTCAAGTCGAGGTGGGTGTGTTATATCTGTTCTCACTTGTCTGTATGCTTACCAGAACAACAGAAGGCTGAATATTATGACAACGGTCATGACAAACTTGAACAATGGTTCGGACACTTCAATGTGCTGAGATGGTAAGCCCTCATCGACAATAGCTCATCATATCTGGTTTATCAGTCATTTACTTTTCAAGCTACCAGAGAAGTGCTTCTCACTGTCCAAGACAGACTGACTGACCCAATTTTGCCCGAGGGTTTCCCACCGTCAGCTTCAAATCCAGTGCTGAGGACTACGTAGACGTGTGGTGCTGCTTAGCATGGAACCGAAGGAGCTGGGCTGTGCGATTAGGTGGGTCGAGTGTGATGCACGAACTATGTATACTTACCTTGGGTTTTCTAGTAAGTACATGTCTGTTCTTCCAGTTTTGCCAGCAACAGAGGCACATGGGAGTTTGCTGCCACAATGGCCCGTTGTGCAAATAGGCCATCATTTGCCGGCTTTGGATTAGCCTGAAGATGACGATGCACAGGAGAAAGTGCCTTGGCATCGATGGTGTCCAAGAAGGAGCCGGAAGGGGCGTGGAGAGCCGCTGCTCTTAATCTAGGCTCATGCAGAGCAGCTCATCAGGAAAATGACACATTGCCTTATTGAGCTTACTTGCACTTGTTTGACTTACACACATTTTATGTCTGGATTGGGCCTTGTAAATGATCATTATGTCTGATGGGCAAGACAGATTCAGATGTAAGACAGCATAAGGCATTCAGACAGTTTCAGACAACATAAGAATATTTCAGACACTTTTTCATACAACACAATAGTTCAATAATACATAATCTTGTTGAAAGCCTGTGTGTTTAAAGTCTGTGAATAACATCTGACATTCGCCATCCTCACCATCCACATCCAAATTGGCAAAAAGCCCTGAGAACCATGATCACAAGAGGGTGGGTTATGCCCTATGAGAGGCAGCCATGATATGAGTAACCCCGCCTGCTAGCGACATGGTGGTCCCAGCTGTCAAGGGCTTAATGCATCAAAATCCGGGAAGGGGGAGCATTGGCTGCCTGTAGCCTTGTGAGTCCTTCACCCGACATGTTGACAATGTGCTTGGAAACGATCACAGCCATCAGTATTGTGCAGGATGAACAAAGTAGTGTAGTAAGTACTCACCTTACAAGACCTTTCCATTCCTCATGACTCTATCCCAGCTCGTAAATGTGAAATGACCGCTGTACATTCATTACTCGCAAATCCATCCCCTTCCGGCAGCGTTCACACGTTAGATTTGAATGTTGGATCTTTGTGTACATGTTAATGTTGCCTTGTTCATCTTCTCGTGTTGTGTAAGGTTTTCTAGAGGGTGTGTGGAGGCAATGGAAGAAGGCGTTGTTGATGTTCAAGCACTTGGGCGGTGTATAGCAGTTGAGCATGGTGTATGCATTCTTTGATGTAGTGGGGGGATAGAGTCCTTAAGAGATCAAGTACTCGCCAGTGCTAGTCGAGGGTGGGCAGCTGGATAGGTTATCAACTTCAATGGTGGGATTTGAGAGTAACAAAAAATTGTTCACAAGTCTGTTGGAACTCTGACGGCATGTGATCATTAGTGATGTGCCGGGCCCGGCCCAAAGCCGTAAGCCAGCCAGGGCAAGCCGTCCCAAAGCCGGGCCTTCTTGGGCCATTGACAAGGCCCAGCAAGGCCCAAAGCTCAGGCTCATGATGCATGAAGCCTTGAGCCATGGCCTCGAAGATTGGTGGGACTCCTCTCAAAAGCTCGTGCCTTGCTTTTCGTACCTTGCTTTGGAGAGGTACAGTGATCTTGCAGGCTGGCTTGGATGGGGCAATCTTCAAAAAGGGTGGGTTTGATGAGGAAAGAAGCTAAGGAAAATGGACAGAAACGTACATGGCTTGATGAAGGAAAAACTGAAGGAAACAACCTTGTTTTTGTTCCATGCAACGTTGGCAACGGCATTGGCAAAGTTAACGCCATTCTGGGAAACATCAGATTGAGAAAAACATGAAACCTGACAAAACTCGTACATGTGTCTGCTCAATGTAAGATGAAGTCGCCTACTATCTCTGCGATGAGGGAAGAGGCATGTTCGACCCCTTCTCTGAAAGTCTGCAAAAGTAGCGAGGTGAACGGTGAGTCCAGGCAAGCATGAGATGCTTAGATACCTCGTGCAATGTTTCGGGATGGCATGCCTCAACCTTGACGTTCCCGATCGTCCTAACGCGATGAGAAAAGAATTTGGCAGTGATAAGGGGGGTGCAGCATTTGACGGAGGCGTACTTGTGGAGAATTTGTTGTTGGATTGTTTGTTTGTCCATGTTTTTCGACTTTAGCCCATGAGCCATGGCTTGAGCCTGGGCCGGACCTGAGCCAGCCTGAAGCTTTGCAAAAAGCTCAGGCTTGAGTATGGTCAAGCCTGAGCTGCCCAAAGCCAGGCCATAGCCGTGGCTTTCAGGCCAAGCCGGGCCTGCACATCACTGGTGATCATGTTGAATTCTTGTTCCCAAATTCTTTCCACCATTCTTCCCACCACATCATCTGTGTGCTTTTGTCACATTTTCATTCACTGTACTCCCACTTTCAGCTCACACTGCCACCTGGCCTACAAATCCGAATGGTGAGCAACTACCTTTCATCATCATGTTTATTGAACTTTCAACGTGAATGTTCAACTACAAGTTTCCTGTTTGCTTTGACAACTCCAGGTGCATTGGCACCTAGTCAGCTTTGCTTGCTAACCATTTAACTGTCTGCAACAGCCACCAGTGGGAGGGGTTGAGTTTGTTCTACCCCAACACAACGATGACAAGGCCCGGCGATGACACCACATGATGATGAGGAACGACTGCAAAGATGACCCCACGACAATGCACCTGCGAATGATGATCACACATGGAGTACGATGACCCCCCATGGACGACGATGTGACGACACCATGCAACACAACCTCAATGCGACATGACTGCGACCACAACAAGGATGCAGCACTGCGCCTCGCGTATCCAAGTTAGCTTCGTTGAGGTGAGTCATGAGCCTGCACTGCCTCTGTCCTTCCCTTCACCACCCAATGACTTTGTTGACCTTTCCTTGACTCCTTTAGCGGCACATATTACATGCCAAACACCATCACCAACCTTGCTTAACTTTCAGACAAGGTATGATGGTACAAGTTGGTGAGTGGAACACATATCATCCAGGGGAGACATTGTAGGCAAGTCTATCACAGTGATGACGGCTCTAGTCTCATGAGCCATGGACTGCATTGTCGAGGGGTGGGTGTTGGCGGGTATATTCATCAGTTTACATAGCTTCATCTGCACTGTAATAGCGTACAATATGAAAATGAATCATTTTGAAACTGTTTAAAATTGCCTGGAAAATGTCTGCTCAACCAAAATAAGATGGCCATGCCTGGCACCTAGTGCTTGGAAGTTAGGTTAATTAACTGGAAAATAACTGAGACCAGACCGGACCTAACTGCAAAAAAACCGGACCACGGTTAGTGGTTAGTCAATTCTGGAAATGAAATAACCGGTTACAACCGACCCTATTATACCCCTTCAAAACACATCTAAAAGCATGAGAAACACTAAAAGTCTGACAGAGTTATGGTCAAATCTCTAAAATATTGGCTAAAATAGTAGGCTTTCAAGAATATTATTATAAAATTGTCAATTCTTCACCGAATTTAGCGTTCTTGGGCTTGTTTTAAAGCTACGATGCATGGCAATAATGTTTACTGCAAGGAATATGAGAAATATACGCCGTTTTAATCGACTTTCTATTTTTTCGGTCCTAACCAGTTAGTAACTGCAACTAACCAGTTTTCGTCGGTTATCTTCAGTCCAGTTAGGTTATTTTGGGTCTGGGAACGGACCCTAATCGGTCTCGGTCTCGGTTAGAGCCCCTGGGCACCCAGTAACCTAACCCATGCCTTAAAATGCCTTATGTTCTTGAATGTCTTAACCTGTCTTAACTGCCTTAGGTCAGGCATTTGTGCCTTGTACCGAAAGGTACATAGCTTTGGCAAGATCCATCAAATCTGTCTGATTGCGTCTTAGGTGCCTGGCACAAGACAGATCAGACAGATCAGACAGTGTGTCATTTTCCTGATGCTATGAGAGGGTGGCAATGAACTCTTCCAGCAACCACATCATCTGCCAGCTTCGAATGGACAGAAGAACAATGGTGTTTTTGGACACCAATCGCCATCACCATCCCAAGTTCCAACAATCCAAGGAACTGTTCCCCCCGTTCGTGACCCCCTAATGCCCTTTCCTATTGGTCATTGCAACCGACCAACTTGTTCGATGAGCCTGTCCATTAATCTTGCGCTCACCCTGAGCTTTCCACAAGCGGAGGTCTCGCCTGCCGGGCGAGACCCTCATGCCTAACCTGAACCATGTGTTTGGTTCAGGTTTGAACCTTCTGAACCTTGTAATTTTTTAAAATCAAATTTTTCGCCTTTTTTTCGTGTCCAAACGCTTCGAAACACATGTGTAATCTCTAAAAATCAGTTATTTATGCAATGCCATGGCACAAACCATGTTTGATAAGCCAAATAGATATTATACAACAGACCCCAACAAGTGCACGTTAGTGTTGCCGCGTTTTTTTAACGGCTTATTTTTTGTTTCGTTTATACAGAGCGGAGTTTTCACTCGAATTTTACGTTCTTAGACCTTCCGTGTAGATGGGAAGTAGGTCTAAATTTCAAAAAAAAGATCGCCAAGAACGACCGAGATTTGATTGAGAGATTCAACCGGCTTTGAAAAAAAGCCGGCTCATTTGAGCTGCGACTTGGCGACCAGCTAAACGTAAATAGCTCAACGAAAACGTAATGCTTTTTTACGTTCTTTTTTTAATAATTTAGATCTACTTCCTATCTATCTGGAGAGCCCAGGAACGTAAAGTTCGAATAATAATTACGCTCTCTATAAGCAAAACAAGAATTTACCGGCTAAAAAACGCGGCATCACTAGTGCACGTGTTGGAAAGCGACCTAAAATATGGCCATCAACCATCACCCAGATGAAGGATTGATACTTTACATTTAAATACTGTAGTTGTTACAGATCACAATAGTTTTGAACGAAAAAATTGCAAAAAAATGTCCAAAACAGAGGGAAAGTAGGCCCCACAGTGGCTAAAGGTTCAGAGGTTCAGTTCAGTCTGAACCTGTTCTCCAGAAATTTTCTGGAGCCCAAACCTGAACCTGAACTCAAACCGAACTTTGTGTTCGGTTCAGAGGGTTCGGGTTTGAACCGAAATTCTGGACTGAACTTCAGCAACGCTAGTGAGACGCTCTGGGCAGCAAAAACAGAAAATTTCCCAGAGGAGCAGAATATCAAACTTGTGACTTCTTCCCCATCACCCAACTCAAACCCAACTTGCTCAAGACATAGTGCTGAATTCCAAACTAACGAGCCTCCGCTTCTCCAAGAATGGCACCACCTTCACGATGAGGTACTCCAGAGGCGCAGGCGCTCGAGGAAGAAACGACCTTTACTACGGTGCTGGGGTTCCTGAAGCTGGCAAGCCTATTCATATTCGAGAACTAGTCATCCGTCAACTCGGTGATGAGTATCAAGAGCACGATAATCCAAGGCGTTCGTGGCATGAGCAACAACACCAGGGCTGTACTTTACCATCCCACATGAGTTCCGGCGGATTACGGCAGAATCCGGTGGAGTGTTGGAATTCCATTCGGAATCTGCCAGAATGGTAGGAATCTCGGATTCCTGTGGATTCCGTCGGATTCCAAGTGGAATTCCAACAGATTCCAATGGATTCCAAGTTCAATCCCTGAATAATCAATACATATCACTCCACCTATTACCTAACCACTTTGTGTAACTTAGACCTTAGAATTTCATACAAAAGTGATCATTGAACATACATATTGCATTGATAATAACTATGTACAAAGTATTGAACTAATATAAGGGGGAGGGAGGGTATGGTGGGGAGTGAGTGAGGGTATGATGGGGAGTGAGGGAGGGAGGGAGGGAGGGTATGGTGAGGAGTGAGTGAGGGAGGGAGGGTATGGTGGGGAGTGAGTGAGGGAGGGAGAGGGAGTGGAGTGATGGGTACTCACATGGTGTCCCACCACTTGTGCTTGCCGTTGACGCGTCGTCCTTGTCCTGGTTGTTGACACGTCGTCGTGGTGGTGCTTCGTCATTGACGCATTGATGCATGGTCGTGCTCGTGCTCATCGTTGTCGTGTTGTCGGTCGTGGTGGTGGTGTTTTGACGCATCATGGTGGTGCTTCGTCGTTGACGCGTTGTTGTTGTTGTTGTTGTGGTCCATTGATGTGTCATCCTCGTCCTCATCGTGGGCGTGGTTGTGTCGTTGTCGTGTTCTGGCCATGGTCGCGCGAATCACATGGTGGTCGTGTCTTGTGGTCGTGGGTTGGTTGTCATCCATCCATGCGTGGTGGACGTGGTCGTGGCTTGGTCGTCATCCATCGTCGTCGTGGGTCGTTGTTGTCGCGTTGTGCTGTGTCGTTGTTGTCGCGTCGCCGTATGGTGGTGGTGTGTCATATGGTTGCCACGTCGCTGTTGGCGACGTGGCCCCTGCATTCGGTGTGAAAGAGGGAAATGAGAGGGGGGCGTGTACTCACTTTTGATGACATGGCACGTCCACGGTCCCTCTGGATGTGCCACGTCGTCTTCACTACCTGCTGTCAACGCGGCAGGCACTCGTTCGACTACTGGGGGTGGTGACATGGCATTGGCACGTTGTTGCCGTTGTCGTTTGCTTGTGCTGAGGTTGGTGTGGGCGGTTGACAATGGTAGTGGGCGGTGGTGGCCATGGGCGATGTGGTGGCACTGCGGCAAGGGAGGGGTGTCGTGGAGGATGGTGGGAGTTGAGGAAGAAGAGGGTTGAGGGTTGTTGATGGCACCAAATCGTGCGTCGGCATTTGCCGACGCTCGTTTGGGAAGGTGAACGCAAAAACGACATATATTAACTGATAGTTCTATGCCTTGTAATGGTTGTATAGCTTAGTGGTAATAATGCTCCTCCCAGTTCCCACAATGTCTTCTGAGGCTATGGTTCAATCCTTGTTCATGTAATTATTTTTATGTTATTATAATAACAACTGCAATCACTGCATTTCTTCGGAATTCTGATGGAATGCATGGATTCCATCCTGGAATACACTTTCCATTGGCATTCCATGGAATCTGGTTGGAATTCCAATGGATTCCAATGGAAACTGTTCCAGGAGGCTCCTGGATTCCAACCATTTCTGCTGGATTCTGTCGGATTCCATTGGAATTTCCATGGAATTGGAAACCAAAATGGCTGAGGCTCCAGCCAACTGGTTTCCGTTGGAATTCCATGGAATTCCAACATTCCACTTGGAATCTGCCGGATTCCGCCGGAACTCATGGGGGATGGTAAAGACCTCCACCAGGGGTGGCCTGCAAGGCTAAGGGGATCAGAGAATTGAATAAGGTCATCTGTGTCGTGCAACGGGGCAACCAGCGTCAGCAAACAGATGAGAAACGAAGGAAGGCATCTCTTTTGGGGGCCGATACCTGACTAACCCTCACTGTACTTCGGAACACTTACTACGCCGCTTTGAACCTCATGTTTCAAGGGTACATCCATCCTCTGCTTAGTCTTCTGCTATAGCTCGCTCAGAGTGAACATTGGATATCTTAATTGGTAGTACTTGGCACGTCAAGCTAGTACTCAGGACCATCTTTACTGGCTGGCTCATGGAATGTTTTAAGTATTCTTGATTTTTGAACTCGGTTTGCTGACTTTATCTAGCAGCGTAATCGGCTTCAACTCGAATTCAAAGTGCACCATGGTCATTTACCGATTACATAGTGTCATGATCTTGTTTCCGTTGTAAGGCTATTGATGCCCGAATGCCTAGCTATCTCTACCATGCTCTTGCACCTCACCCGGGCCGTGCCAATCATTATCTGCTCATAAAAATAGACTGTCAATTTCTGATGATTGAAATGAAGAGAGAAATAATCTGATAGGATATGATATCAGCAAGCTCTGAAACAGGACCATATCTCCATTTCTATGACAAAAACCCCGATGACACTCTTTTTTTGCAAAGAATCACCACATAGTTAGGAGTCAATAGGTCGCGGTCCGTAATGCATGGGCGAGCAAAAAATGGGCTATCATCACCAATTAATTACACATACAGCATTGTATAATACAACAATAAAAACATAGTCAGGATCAGAGTGCAGAGAAGGGACAGCGTGTGTAGTTTATACATTTTCTTGGGGGATGTGGACAATAGAAGATGAGGTATGGAGGAGAGTGTGGCACATGGTCATGATGATGATTATGGGAGGGGAAAATCGGCAAGAGTAGCAGTCAATAAACCTTTTAGATGTGTGTAGGGTTAGAGGTTTCAGGAAAATTAAGAATTAGGGGGGACATTGCAAGGGGATATAATATGGTGGGATTGTTGGGAATGTTGAGGATGACAATGCATATCTTGATGCAATGGGCATAGTAGCCAGGATATCAGAGTGAATACAATGATCAATGATGGAGATGCAACAAGAGCAGTGGGATCTAGCAAGAGAAAGCAAAAGCAGATCAAACAAGGGCTGCAGACTGGAGGTAACCTCACAAGATTGAGTCGCGAGCTAAACAAGACAGTCAGCAAAACAATCCAAGGCACTGCAATGGAGCGTACTGTTTCCAATGATATGCTGTGTTGCCTTTGTGTCCTAGACATCAAATATGAGAAAGTTTTTTTTAGGTTTTGCCAAAAGAAAACTCACCACTACACTCGTGAAATGAGTATACAGCACCTGACAATTCTCGTTGTTTCGTCTATGAACCTGCAGGAAGTGAGCATGGAAGTATTGAACGATGGTCTCGTAATCGTTGGACCAATCGCCGAAGGACGTGATGCTGATGAGGGTGAGTGATAAGAACATGGTTGCAAATGGGGTGACTCACTACTTCCAGACTTTGAGTCCAGTATTGAGCTTCACCTTGAGCAGATCTGTCTTATCTGTAAAAAAATTGTGATGAATGAGCACAAAGGAACAATAAAAGAACCCCAGCGTATCTACACACTCAGGAAGAGGACCAAGTGAACGTTTTTCAGCAAGGCATTTGAACATATTTGCATGAATAATTGCAGAGAGTCGTCTATCCTGTTCATCCAAGGGTCTTCTTTGAGATACTAAATGGATTTGTTAGCATGGTTACCAACAACATGGCCTAAAAATGAGAGTTCAGAAAGGAACCACAAAACGAAACAGAGAAGCACGCTGGTGGTTGCCATATTTCAAAGAAAGTCTACTACTTAGTAGGGATAGAGATGGAGGACGGCGCAGATGCCAAGGGAAGAGAAAGAGACTCGCCTGATCAAATGCCACCCTTGGCTGTAGTCCTATGCCTTATATTCTGTAAGAATGCACTTTATTCATTTCCATAGGGAGTGCATTTGACCACTTTGTCAGGATGTGGGTTAATGCACAGCTTGCTGTAGGGTGGGTGGGAAGAGGTATTGTTGATATTATATAGGTACATATATATTATTTAATTCTGAGGAGACATTTATGTCCTACAGCTTTGTTTCTCCTAGAAAGAACACCTGAAACTTTACCATATATATATTTGATAATGTTCTGACACTCCTAAATAGTTTCCCTCTGTCAAATCTGACCGAAATAGGCTGGATGCACTTCAGTCACCCACTGCCAACTGACTATTAGTCATGCAAACTCCACGTAAGTTACATGACTAAATGTCATGGACCATATCTATATTATGGGTCCTAGAAAGCTCTGAAATCTAAAATATATTCTTGAGACATGGACCCTGAAATGTCACTGTCACACCTTAGAAATATATTTTTGCCCTGGCTTGGCCTTAGGATATATTTTGTGAAACAGATGTGGTAAGGATATATTTTTCTGGTCTGTAGGGGTGTCAGGGGTCCTAGTTTCAGCAAAAAACTTGTGATTTTTTTGCTGTCTGGGGTATATATTCTGGAACATTCTGCAATGATTGCTAGGGGTTTTGGCACTATGTCTGGCTTGTGCTCCCAGTATGTAGGTAGCAATAAGGGGCCTTAATAGCATCTGTAATCTACCACTTCCAACCACACCATAATTACAGATTCATTCATTCTCCTCTAACAAATTTGGGCATCAATGACATGTGTGATTCACCTTGAAGCTATTCAGTCCAAGATTCCTGAGTTGCTTAAGCATTATCCACTTTGACACTATGGATACAGTTCACACTATGGAATTTTTTAGCTGCTTAGAAATCCCCTTCACATCTGCCTCTACTTCAGCTCTGAGATCTCTAGTTGCATCTTATCTGCATACCCCACCAACATCTGTATTAGTCAAACCCCCGCATGTGATATCAAACATCTCTCCCAATCCAGTTTCAAAAACCAGAGTTCTCTGTTGTTTCTCTCTTTCTCTGTCCAGTTGCACCTTATCTGCATACCCCACCAACATCTGTATTACTGTAGCATGACAGTTTGGTAAGGCTTCACTGTTGCACTTGGTACTTCCCTCTCCCCAAGATTCAACTTTCTTCCACTGTATTGCATTTCATTACATAAGCACTGTACATATACCTCATGTTGTACATGAGGCAGAATTCATCTTTCTTACCACCATAACCTCTGTATCACTTGATACTTAGCTCTACTAATGGTTAGATCCAGCTCTCAGAGAT